GAAAAGAAAAAGAAAAAACTCAGTGAAAGACAAGTCGGTATTCATCAATATAATTATGTATTCTTCCATTCAGTGAAATATGATGAAGTTTATCACCAGACTTTTATTATAAAATCCAGCAAGTCTGGATAAAGTACTATGATACTGAGAGCAGTATAGTTTCAATAGTACAAGTCTATATATTTTAATTTTATTGACCTGTTCTTAATTTGTGGTTTAATTCAACAAACATCACCATAAAACCTGAAATAACATCACCAAAGGGCAATGTAATCCAACTTTAAATGACTTTAGGCATGGAAACTTGGAAGCTGGCACATACAAGAAGCAGGAGGTAAGTTTACTACTCATGTTCACTTCAGGTTTTGCAATTCACTTATTTAAGAACACATAAAATAGGCCTGAAGCCTCAAGAATACTTTTTAATATGTAATTATCAGAAAATTGTAAAAATTGGGGCTATAGGAGATTTTGAGAACTCATCTGATTTACCCTGGTAAAAAAACACCTGTGAAAACCTGACCCTAAGTACAGTCATAATTAAGTTCATAAATGTATTTAAAGAATACCTATAAAACAGGCTGTTATTAAAGTAACCTTAAGCATAAAGCATATTAATAAGGCTAATAAAGGCAAAAGGGTTCTGATAATGATGTACTAAAACTAGTATATCAAAATCTCAAGTCATACCACTTTGAATACTCTAACTGGAAAAAGTCGGACCATACCAATATCTTTATGACCAGTGAACACTCATAAAGCTGATTTCACAGGAGTTGGCATCATCTGTTAAACGTACTGCTATGCCTTACAATAAATGAAGGCTGATTCATGTTCTCTCATTTCCCTGGACTGTCAAGTATAAAAGGAATAATAATTTAAAAAAAAAAAAAAGCTGGCATAGAAGATAGCTGAGGATCACAGCATAGAGCCATAGTTGTAGTACTGAAAGCAGTACATTCATCTTGGCACAGGGCTCAGATAACCCGATTCTCAGCAGGCCCTAGCTTTAGTGAGCGCTGTATGTCCTTAGTATCTGGTGTTATATGTTAAATGTTTGCTCAGATATCTCTGCACAAGAGTACATTCTTCTGCACAGAAAATATACTTCATACCAACCAGAAAAATATAAATTCCTTCAATCACTCAAAAGTGAGTAATCTTTTGTGATTTAGTACATGTTGTACATGACTATCCATTCACATGGCAAAGGACGGCTACCTCCTCTCTAAGAATATTCATATTTTCATTTGTAATGCACCTGAATACAAAAGGGCATTTTAAAATCTTGAAGATTTAGTCAGCCAACACCACATGGTGTTTTAGAATGGCTTAACTTGTACCAGAGAACAGGCTATGGGCAGTTTGGAAGTTGTGGCCAAAATACCATCCTTTAAAACCATAGGAAAGAACCAGCACAGTCTTAACTGCAACAGTTTTAACCTTTGATATGTCAGTGCAGAAAAGCAAATCTGTAAGAATCAATCATTTATAATCTCCCTGTTCTTTCTAAACACTTACCTCAAACTGTCCATTCTCATCTAGCTCCTCAACTCTGGTCAAATTAGGTGCTCCAAGTCTATCTGTAAGTTCAGCTATTGTCTTTTCATTTTCCTATGGTAATGAAAACCAGTTTTCAATTAAAAGTATTCCATGTCATGAATAATTATCTACAGAGAATATTTCAGACATGTTAAAATGACATTATGTATTAATATAAAGAGGTACTTTAGATGCATGCTACACAAACATGTTAGTATGAGAGTATGGTCTTTGTATGCTTGTTAAGACTATATTTATCAGTTTTTTTAAAATAATTTTGGTTTAAATTTCTATATATTAATTTTTTCTGTCACTTCAATACTGTCATCTTTCTACAATTATGTTCTGTTAGTATTTTAACAGTGCTCTAAAAATGTACATTTCTCTAAAATATGATGTGCTCCATGTAAATGTAAGAGATATTCACATTTAAAAGCTTTATTGAGATAAGCATGCCAATTATCAGTGTATGTTTTTACTGAAATAGCATTAAAAGACCATACATTTACATGGACATCTGTATATGCACTCTTCTGTTAGTATAAATTCCTATGCACCAGGAAGATCTCACAATCAAGAGGCATCCCAATTCCAATCCACAGTTCCTTTTCCAGGCACAGCAAATGGACTTTGTGCTGGCACACTGTAAAGCATTACTGCCTAGACACTTAAATTAGACATGCTTAAGTTATAATACTTTCTCATAAATACCATCAAGGTAGGGGAAAGCATCAACTAAGCTGACCTTAGGCTAAATTTTACAATAAATTTATGCTCTGTTCTGAATATAAACTAAATAAATCTAATAGAACAGACCAAAACTCAAGTATAAAACCCAGACTGGAAGCAAGGTGTTAGACATTCTTCCCCCATTTTAACTTTTTTTTTTTTGATTATGTGTTAGTTCAACACCCATGGGCTTCTGCCTTGTGTTTCGTATTTAGTGCCTCCACCTGGCAAAGACAGCTGATTAACAGTACTTCCAAACCACTGACTAAGCTTTGGCTTAAACCTCTTGATCTTTCCTCTGCAACAGCGTTTCATCTTCTTCATTCTGCAGTTTCAACTCCTCACGCTCTTGTTCCAGCTGACCCTGCAGACAGTTTAAGAAAGGACAAATAAGAAGGAAAAAAAACACATTCATCTTCCCTACCCCATTGCTTACAATGTATTTCACGATTGCAATCTTAAATAAAATAAAAAAGGAAGCAGAAAACATAACTGCAATGTTAATAACATAAAGCCCTTTCAGTATTACCTAGCTCAACATTTTCATACGTTTTAGACACACATGGATAGAAAGGCTTTACTGCCAAGAGGAAAGAAATAGACAACTGAAGTTAGTGTACACACTTAAGATACTGTCTCCTTCTGCATGCTCTTTATCAGTCTATATTCATTATCTCCTATACTTTGGATTAAGATCTTTGATACGTCGTATAGTATCTAGCACAGACAGCTGAATCCATATAGAATCAAACTTATAGAAAAGGTTGGCAAGCAATGTCATTAACATTATTATCATCTTCATCAGCAACCTTTAATATTTCCAATCGAAAATATCTAATACAAAGTGTTTCTTCTTTGTGAGCCAAGTCCTATTGCATCAAAACTTCAGAAATGGCATAATCAAACTCTTCACATTCAACAGCACTAAGGCCTAGAGAATACTGTTTGCTGTAGCGTTTTGTGAGCAGTTGCTATAAATATGGTCATATTGTAGTAACTAGTTTTCACATTCATTTTTGGTACATATAATCAAACCATGCCTGAGTATGTGACTATAGCCAAAATTGTGAGTTAGGTTAAAAAAATGTGTCTAATGTATTGTTCAACATCTTTCCTGCAGTTTACATGAAATAACTTATTTAATTCTCTGTGAATTATCTCATATTCTTGTTTCCATTTCCTATTTTATATGACTCATGAAATCCTTAAGCACATAACTTTTGGTCTGCAAATTTGTGAAGTCCAAATTTAAAAAGTGCAAGTGAAATAGAATGAATGCACCTTGCACTAGAACTGGGCTTAACAAGATCAGCACAGATTTAAAATTACTCTTGATTTTAATGTCGTGAAAGTCAGCCATGTAAAAAACATCCAGTCAGATAAAGTCAACATTATCACAGCAACACTGAGGCTGTTACATGTGTGGTCAAATTCATATGAATCCTTTATAAAGGATTATTTCTCATATTCAAAGTCCATATAGCATAGGACTCAAATTGCTTCATATACCAACAGAATACTCCGGTAGCAAAGGAAAGGAAAAGGGACCTCATTGGATCACACTATACATACTGCTTACATACGCAGTCTTCATTCATTGATGATCAACCATTTTCAGGACTCTATAATTGTGTTTACATTCTCATTACCTTTTTTTGCATTACTGATATTACATGGAAGTAGCTTCAGACAATGATTGGTTATTACTCCCAGGCCTCTTAGCAGGCCTGTCAAAAATTTTTGCAATGATTTCTAGCTTTATTTGCACCAGCTCTTGTTCATTATTAACTACAGACGATAGTCTACTTATTTTAAGTTACTTCTCAGGTAAGTCTTAAATTGGTTGCTTTTTACCTTAAGCTCCTTCATTTTTTTAATAACATTTTACTGCATAGTATGTAAGTTTTTCTTCCCATGGGCTGACTAATCATTTCAGTTATTTAGAAAAATTAGATTAAAATACTTGTTTTATGCTACCTTCTATCAAAATCATTATACAGAGATTAGAAGTATACAGAGAGCTACAAGATGCCACAGCATCATATACTATTTATAACTATCTATAATTAAGTATTATTAACCTGGTGTTGTTCTTCAAGTTTCTGCTGAATCATTAGCTCTTCTTCCTTCATTTTTTTTAACATTTCGAGTTCTACCAGGGCCGCCTCCCGTTGTTGTTCCAGCTCAATTCTCTCCAGCACCCTCTGTTTCGGAGGTAACACAGAATCAATTAAAAAAATAAAGAAACATTAAATAGCATCAATTATATTGTCATGAATTTTTTTGCCCAAGATGGATCCACCTTTTTTTCTTCATCTAAGATTCTTCTGTAATTGTAAATCCAATGTGCCAGATACTCTATTGGATCTGCCGGCCGATGCTCTACAACCTCTGCCAGTCCCTTTTTCAAGCAACTTCCCAGGCATCTTTTCAGATACTGAGATTCCATTCACATCTACTGACAACAGACAGAGATTAGCCATCAATGTCAGAATTAAATTAGGGTTTTTAAGAATCATTGCCTCAGGCACCAAATAGTGAATATGACATTACTCTTTTTATTAACCCGGCAATTAATAGAAGAAAGTTATTTAAATTTAATATTGGTTTAGTTCTTAAAAGCTCCAGCGATAGATCAGTTTCACCAAGCACTGCAGAAAAAGTACTCAATCCCCACCCCCCACCCCCTTACTGTTTAGGCTTGTGTAATTCAGAAACTGTTTGGAAATATGCTGGTAATTCTAGGTCAGCACAATAGCAAAAAGACCATAACAGGACATAGGAAACTTCTAGACAGGTATCTGAAGAACAGCGAAGTAGTTCTGTGAAGGATTAAGGAGAGGTTTTAGTCTGAACTAACAAAGCTATCTTTAGGATACGTATACAAGACCAGGGCCTGAAGCATTCACTCTATACAGTCAGGAAAGGCACAAATCTCCGTGCTCACACAGGGTTTTACTGGCCCTGCGCCAGCAAACACGTAACACATCTGAAACGCGACTTCTGCGATGCTGAGAAGAGCCTTCGCTTGCTGTCAGCGGGACTGAGCCCGCGTCGCGCAGCCCTGGCCCGGAGAAGGCAGCGGAGCGGCTCCCTCGCTAGGAACGGCGCCCGTCGAGCAGCGGGTGCCCCTGAAGGCGCCGCGCCGCTCTGCGCCGCACGGCCCCAAGGCGGGAGGGAAGCCAGGGCGTTTCACGCTGCCCTGTGTGAAACGCCGCGGGCATAAAACCTCTCCCACCCTCCGCGTCCGCACCGGCTCCTGAGGTAGCGGGCCCCGAGAGCACCGGTCAGACCTTAACTGTCCCGACCGTTTTCACCCGGAGCCTCCACCCACGTCCTCTCGCCCCCGCACTCCCCCGAAGCACAGGCTGGCGCCTTTACCTCACCCCCCTCCCGCCCGGAGCGGCGCGCGGGGCGGGCCCGTTCCCTAGCCCTGCTCCCGTGGTGCTCTTCGGCTTTCCTGGTGGACCTGGCGCGTCACCCCGCCTCGCCCGGTGCTCCGTGGACTGTCACTAGGACCCGGTGCTGTCCCCCCTGCCTCTGGCGCCGCACGCTGTCGCTAAGGTAATTACCCGACCGCCCTCGGCTCCTCCCGCTCGCCTTCCCCCAGAGAGCGGCCCCGCTCCCGCTGCTCCCGGAGCCCCGGAACGGCAGACCCTCCCAGCTACCGACCGCCTGCCTCCTCCGGCCCAACGGCGGCTGGGCGCCTCTCCGCCCGCTCCGGGCCCGCGGCGGCCGCAACGGCGCCCTGCGCGGAGAGGCGGTGGCGAGGCGCGCGCCGCCCCACGACGCGCTGGGTTGCTAAGCGACACCGCTCGCGGGCGCACCGCGATCGCCGCGTCGCCGGCAGGAGGCACGCGATTGGAGGAAAGGCGGGGCGGGGC